GGCGCCTTCGCCGGCGCCTCGGCGGCGCCCGGCGCGCGCTTCACTGCGTGGGAGCAAGGAGGGGAATGGCGGGAGCGCCCCGAGGGCCGCGGCGCGGAGGCCGCGCGGCCTCCCTCACCCTTGGTCTCGCAGATCATGACGTTGCTGTAGTCGCTCGCGCCGCCCTCGTTGTAGCACTGCATCTTGATGTCGTACGAGGTCTCGGGCTGCAGGCGGCTGATGAGGTGCCACTGCTTGGTGCCTGCCGGGGACGGATAAAGCGGCGGGAATTCCGAGACACGGATCCCCCGGGGGGGAAAGCACCTGGGAACACCCCTATAGTGGGGGGTTTGGGGGGAATGGAGGCGCCCCAGGGCTCCCTGTGGCGCTCGGGAGGTTTAAGCCGGACCTAAGCGCGCTCTTTTCCCCCCTTTCCCGCCCGGCTTTCTCCCCCACCCCCAAGCATTCCTGCGCCTAATGACTGCAGCAGGTTTTAGGTTTCCGCTCGCAAGCGCCGGCGGCGGGGAGGGGGACGCGGCCGGGCTCGGAGCCGGAGCCGAGCGCGGCGAGGCCGGCACACCAATCAAGCCGGAGGGGAATTATAAACAGGCGAGCTCCRGCGGGTGCCCGAGGGGAAGCCGGGCTCTTTGCAGGCGCTCCAGGGCGCACGGAGCCACCTCCTTCCAAGGCAAGCTTCCAAAAAAGAAAGGCTCGCTCCTCTCCCAAGCCGGGTGGGGAAAAATAACTCACGTCAGCGGCCCGGGGTGAGCTCAGCGGGCGAGGAGGAGGAGGGCTTTGAAAGGCTGTTTTTGAGGAGTGTTTTCCACCCCTGCACCGGCGCAGACATGAGCTAAGAGGCGCTTCCAGGAAAGGCGCTGAGCTCATGGGCGCAGGGGCCGAGCGCGGCGCGTTCCCGGCGCGGAGCTCCCTGCTCCCGGGAGCGGCCGGGTGTCCAGCGGGCTCCAAAGGAGCCAAGCCCGGCCTAAACCCCCTTTAGAGCTGGTTTCTTTTGGTGCAGAACCACGGGAGCGTTGAGGTTGGAAGGGATCTCTATGGATCACCCAGTCCCACCGTCCCGCTCCACCCAGCGCGAGCGGCATCCCGGCGGGGGTTGGAGGGCCTCCCTTTGGAAAAGGAGGCTCCGCAGCCTCCCGGTGCCGGGCCTCAGCCCCTCGGGTACCTTCCACGACGTCCCGCTTGTAGTCGCCGTCGTTGTCGCTGTCCGTGGGCCGGTAGTAGACGTAGAAGCCTTGGATGGGGGTGTTGTTGTTGCGGGCGGTCACATACTGCGAGGCCAGCGAGGGGGAGGCCGTTAGGGAGGCCCCTGGCACCAAGGAGGCCCCGGGCCTCCTAAAATCGGAGGATTTCCCTCCCTGGAAGCCGGGCGAGCCAAGGAAACGCAGCCCAAAGCGGCACTCGCAACCCGAAGCGCGGGGACGCTTCCCAAACGGGGAGTTTTCCCAGCTCCAAACGGGGTCTTTTCCAGCAAGACCCACCCCCCCAAAAAAAAAGGGGGGCGCTTACGGTCCACTTGAGCATGATCTGCGTGTCGCTGACGGCCTCGGTGTAGGCGATGTGGGGCCCGGC